CAGCCCGTGTGTCCTCCCCCCGTCGCTTCTGCCCCTCCACCTCCCCCCTCGCGGCTGATTGCCACGCGTAGAATGTCCTCCGCCAGGCTGGACTCCGCCCCGAGCGCCGGGCGCTCCTCGTCTCGGCTCCCCCTGCTGCTGCGCTTGACCGTCCTGGTCGCTCTGTTGGCCGTCGCCGTCGGGGTATCTCTACTGCCCGCTGTCCAGGGCCGATGTGCGTGCCTCCTCCTGCCTGCCAGGGCTGCTCCTGTCTCCTGCCCCGGCATAGCCCGCACCCAAACACGCATGCCCGTGCTCACCTCATGCCTCCTATGTCCCTCATGTCGCCGCAGCCTCGGTTTCCCTTCCCGACAGCCCGAGTGCCTCGCGTGTCTTGAATGTGTCAGATGACAGCGGCTCCATTCCCCCGGAGGGCAGCGGCTCTGTTCCTCCGGAGGGCAGCGGCTCCATTCCCCCAGAGGGCAGCGGCTCTACCCCGCCGGAGGGCAGTGGCTCTACCCCGCCGGAGGGCAGCGGCTCTACCCCGCCGGAGGGTAGCGGCTCCAGCAGCCCCGGGGATGGATCCGGTAGCTCAAGCAGCTCGGACCCCGAGCCCCCTGCCCCGGCGCCGGTGATCCTGGATTTCTCGCCAAAGTCCGGCCCTCAGCATGGTGGGACTTTGCTCACCGTGACCGGGATCAACCTGGATGTTGTTTCTTCGGTGACCATCGTGCGTCAACTGCTGGGGATGCCCGCACCGCCTTCCCTCCTTCCGCTAACCCATCACCCTGCGCGGGGCATGTCCATGCTCGCGACCCCGCTCCTCCTTCGATCCTGCCTATCTGCTTGCTCCTGCCTCTTGTCATAGGCCGGCAACTTTTGCTCCAATGTGCGATTCTCGGATGGCCAGCCGGAGAAGATTACCTGCATGACGGTGCGTCGGGGCCGGCTCGCTGTCCTCATGGGGGCTGTTCATTCCTTCTGACCTGTCGATGCCCTTCGCTGTTCCTTGTGCTCAGGGCCCGGCGCCCCAGAACACTGTGGCCCCGGTGCGGCTGCTCTTCAGCGAGGACGAGCACCTGGACTCGGTCGACGACTTCACCTACCACAATGGTTCGTGCATGAGCGTGTCCAAGCGCGCGCGCACACTCGCCTGCACCCACATACACGCATGCACATGCACAGTCGTGACACCACAAAACCGCATGAACACACATGTGGCTGCCTCCGCCGCCTGCGGCGCCGGACCACAGATGCTGACACCCGGCACCCCCCACAGCCCCCCAAGTCACCTCCATCACTCCCACGCTCGGGCCCAAGACCGGCGACACGGTGGTCACCCTGAAGGCCTATCTTCCCGGTACGGCACGCTGTGCTCCCCTGGGGCATGTCTCCTCCCATCGTCACATGGCCCCGACCAACATTCTCCCCCTCTCCCGCCCCTCATCTTTACACCCCCGCACACACACACACACACGCACACATACATACATACATACTTACACTCACTCACGATGGCAAAACATCAGCCGACGATCCTGTTGTCGCCGTGCGCTTTGATAACTACCCTTGCGAGTATCTCAAGGTCTCGACGTCCGAGATCGAGTGCATCACCCCCCGAGTATGTTTGCTTGCCCTTCGCATGCCAGTCTGTTTGTGCCCCTTCCCTCGGAACATTAACGTCCCCTTCCTCCAGGTCCTCAATGCCGGCCAGCTGCGGGTGTACATCGTCACCGAGAAGGGCGGCTCCAGCAGCGAACCCATCATGTTTACCTTCCTCGAGCGTGCGTGCCATCCCTTGGCGATGCCTCCCTGCTGTGTCTCACCTAACCAGGCTTCCTTCTCCTCCCCCCTCCCCCCCCCCCCCTCTTTGCAATATCCAGCCCCGGTGGTTAGCTCGATCTCCCCCTCTTCGGGCCCCATGTCTGGCGGCACTCGCGTTAATATCGTCGGAGAACGTAGGCCCCCTTGCTCTTGCCTTTCCTTCCCCTTTGGCATCTCATCAGGGAGCCCCTTGTTCCTCTTGTCCTCCTCACGCATTTTCTCCGCCTGCCCCAACTGCCCCTCCGCCTTTCATCAGACTTCGGCTCTACCACCGACGACATTGAGAGCATCACACTGGCCGATGTCCCTTGCAAGAGCATCACCCTGCGCAACTCCACCCATCTGAGCTGCACCTCGGGTGCCTCCTCGAACTCCGTGCGTTTACCACCACCACCCCCCCCTCCGCATGTGCATGCACGCGCGCATGTGTCTACGTATATCTGTATGACCTCCTGACTCCTCCTCCCCCTGTCCCTGCCATTGCATGCAGATCCGTGGGAATGTGATCGTCACCAACGTTCACTCCGGCCCCGGCGGGTCGAAGAGCGTCCAGTTCACCTACAACCTTGGTGCGTCCCTGCTAATGGTGTGTGCTCGCATGCGCTTCGGGGCATGCTAATATCTCTTCCCCCCCCCCCCCACGACTCCCCTTCGCACGCGTGCCCCCAGCCCCCTTTGTCAGCGCGATTGTCCCATCCTCAGGCCCGCTTCAGGGCGGCACGACGGTCACCATCTCCGGCCATCTGCTTGGTGACTCGCTGGATGACATCCTGCTGGTTACCCTGGCTGGACTCCCCTGTCTCAATGTGCAGATTGCCAACAACGGCGATATCACCTGCACGTCCAGCCCCTCGGCCGAGCCGCTGAGCGGCCCGGTCATCGTGACCACTCGCAGTGGCGGCGCCTCCGATGGCGAGGCCGTCTTCACCTATAACCTGCGTGCGTTTGCGCGCCCTGCCCTGCAGGGCCTGCCCCCTCCCCGCTTGT